TGGACTGAGCAATGTTATTGTTATTATTGTATATCTGTGTAGTGGTACATTTAAAACCAAAGTAATTTTTCGAGTGATTTTTCCATTATTTTTGTTAACCGTGTGTTCACGACAGACTACAGACTTGTTCACACATTTCGTATTAGTGTACTCGTATTACAATATTCGTAAGCCAAGAACTCATTTTTGAGATTTACTGTTTCATGATGACCTCCTTGAATGTTATAGTTGATGTTTTTTAATAGTGTGCTTACAATCAAAGCAATCATAAAGTACCTTACGACGAGATTTTGCCATAAGTATTCTTTTTAGGCTCTGTGCTTACCCTGGTGGAGATGACTAACTCTGTAACTAACCAGTGTCGAAAGTACCATTATTACTCTATCTTCTCTGGCAAAATAACGTTAACGTTTAAAAAGTGTTGCAAGTGATAACATGAGATTAATTTTTATGTTAATTTGCTCGTACAAACTATTCAGGTACGATTGACTACGAAAACTATCAAAATACTTACAACTAGTACTATTATTTTTATCAATAAGTCCATAATAAAATGTTGTATTACGCAAATGATTACCTGATTCCTTAGTTGATGGTAATCCCGAATCGTATGTTGATTCGAGACCAACTTTAACAAACTTTGGGGTTAACAAAGTATCGTTCGAATATTTGCAAAATAATCCAGTTAAACTTTTTGGAGCGGCCAGTAGGGATTTACGTTTTGCAAAAACACTTGTTTTGCCATTTGAAAACTGTTCAAAATTATGGTTAGGTATCAACGACGTGGGGGTACTTTGCGTACAAATGGATCAGACTACAGGAGCGATGCCTCAAAGCGCTTTTTTGTGAGTGATTTTTTGTATTATTTGCATAACCAGATGGTCATTAAGTAAAAAATTGTTATTAATTTTTTTTTTTTTTTTTCATCCCCAGGGTGATAGTGGAGGCCCTCTTGTACTAAAAAAAATGGACAGAATATCCTCATTGGAATATTATCTTACAGTTATTGTCAAACTGACGATTATGTTTATCCAGCAGTTTACACTAGTATACCATATTACAGAAGTTTCATTGATTGCACAATACATAAATGATCCAATTTTTGTAACGAATATAAATAAATTATTAGTTAAAACAATCATAATCAGTAAATTTGGAGAATATACATTTTTATTTAAGAAAAAGAATACTTTGCCTGAAGCTTTACAAATTTACATGATCTCCAACACAAACTAAAAATAATTTTTAATTTTTTTAAAATTAATAATCTATTTGGTTTCAAACTGTTGGGACAATAAACACATGGTGAAACAATTAGGAAAGATAGCTATTATTCAAATCCATAAGGCAATGGTAATTTTTTTAATTTTTCAATAAATGTAACAAAATAAATAAACTAAAAAAATGTTACGATACTATAACTTCGATAAGCTTAGAAAACATTGACCATCATGGATAGTAGAAATCATTCGTTCAAGACAATCCCTTGCAAAGCCAGAATCCAATTTTCTAATAAAAACACGTCATTTTTCAGATCCTAATTTTAAATTGCTCTCACTATCAAATATCTCGAAGCCATCCTTTCCCTCCCCTCATTTTTCTCCCATTCAAATGTACTTTCCTCGAAAGCCGTTCTCTTGTTGATACTGCGGGCTGTAATTACGGCTCTTTAAAAAGAAAACAACCCCCCCCACTCCCCGACTAATGCACCCCCCTGTGCCCTCACAGCCCTTTTCCTGCCGCCGGCAGAAGAATCCGAGCACTTCCTTCCACAAACACACGCAACCAAACATACCCTCCTCCTCTTTTACCTTTTCTTCCACTTTTCTCGCTTGTATTCCTTGATGTATAATGTTCCAGAAAAGCAAAGAGGAGCTCTCATTCTCTCAAGTTTTACAATAGTAATTCTCTTATCGACCGAGAGGACTTTTTTTCGCTGTTTTTCAGGAAAAATAATAGTTTTGCGACCCTCCGTTTCATTACATCATGAGTTAATGGAACTTTGTATTTTTAGAGCACATCTTTTTCTTTCGTATTAAAAACTAACACACGATATCATAATAGGACTTGAGTGTTGTCAATGACTTTTAATTTTAATTTGTTCACCGGAGATCAAGCAATGTACATCAAATTTACAGAAATTAAAAAAATTTCCAATATTTCCATTACGGCATTCCAAGACAACATTTTATTCTATATAGGATTGTTATACCTTTCGTACAATACCGTACAGTAACCGCTGTAATAACTAAAGTCACTGGCAAAAAATATTTTTGATCACGCATTATCTAAACAAAGCTCGAAAATCCTCGTAATCCAAGACGTTTAGAGTGAAATCTCCCCTTTTTCACCGATCTGAGATCATGTACAAACATTCATACGCAGCATCAGAACACACGTATCGACAAACACTCACGTCGCGTGCGGCTGTTTTTATTTTCGGCCTCTTCCGGGTCTTAGTGTCAGAAGAGGGAGAAATCCGACACCAGAACCGTCGCACCAGCTCGCAAGTTGTAGGAGGGACCCAACAGAGAAAGGACAAAAATGTTGCGTGTCGTGGGCGTTGACGGGCTTGTCAATTTGTTGTGATTTTGACCCCTTCACTAATGAAAAGTGAGCCATGTATGGGGTCTCGATGTAAATCCCGTTTCACTCATCTACGCCCATTCATACGCGATCATTCACACGGAGGGTGGAAACGGTCACATTGTACGACAAACAAATCGCGTCCTTTCTTGTCATTCAGCAAATAATACCATCACGCTTTTATGAAATACTTAAGCGAACGCAGCGCAGACTATAGGTATGATAAAACAGTCGAAAATGAACTCAATTATGCATCAAAAAACACTTTACGCGAATTTTAATCCTCGGCCACGAGGGCAAAAGCAATTACACCGGGGAGTGCAATAGTGATCCCGGCGAGCTTGCCGAGGGAACGAGATTTTTATACACGCGGACCGAGTACTCGCGGTAATAAACAGCTTGTTTCCCTGTACACTGATGCTGCCTCTCGTATACACGAGGGAGACACTAATTCGTTTCTACGCGCCCTCCTTCTCCCGGTATCATTTCTGCGTATATTCTTTCAGCTCGTGGACGGTTCTTCTCCCACGGGACGCGTTTCAAAAGCGGTGCGGGTCTCGTTCTTGTGCGACTTTGTGGCCTGTATTTGTAGCACACGTATTTATTTATGCTGTCGCTCCTGTGGGAATTACTTTCCTCCGTGCGTGCCACAGCTTTTCCACAACATCCGCACGCAAGAGCAACCGGTCGAATCGGGTGCACGTGTGATTGAGATCGGCAACAGGGTTGGATGGGTTATTTATTCATAATCGAGGTCTCGTCGAGAGTATACGAATAAGAAACTCATCACCAACACGACCTCTCCAAAGGTGTTTTGTAATTTTAGAGGGACAAATAGTGAGTAGGTACGCGTCAACAGTCATTACTGTGTAATGTGTAATGTTGCTTAGCTTTTTATTTGCTTCAGCAGTATACTCTTATCGACAATTATCTCGGGACTGTTTGCTCTATATACCGGTTGCACCAACGAATCTTTCTACTTCTCAAGGCATCGATGTCAAATACATACTGTACCATCGTTTTATGCATCTGTTTTCGATGATAACGTTGGAGATAACTTATCTTCGTGTCGGACATGATAATTTATCCGACTTTGTCGCTCCTATAGTTTACGTTGGAAAATACCAACGTGATATTAAAAAATTAGAAAAATTATAACTTGGAAGCGGATAAAGTATGTTTGTTTAATCCAAGCAGCAATTTTCCCGCGTGGGAACGTCAGTCGTTACGCTCCCGCTCAAGTATCCACTCGACTCCAACACCCCCGTCCAACGTCAAATCACTTACGCACTTGTCAGCAGCGCGACGCTCTTGCACACCTTTTCCCGGTTAATGATATCCGCCGTCTGTCCCTCAACTTTCTTCTTCTCCCTCTCAAGCCCAAGTATTTCTTTCTTTTTTTTTTTTTTTTTTCATTTCTCTCACTTCCCGAAATTCATTCTCCAATTTGATCCCCTCGAGGTTCTCGCCGATGTTTGACTGACAGACGCCTCTGGGCCACGATTCTCAAGAACTAAAAAAGAGGAGGATGAAAACGGACGCGTGTATACACGTGGAGCTGCGGTGTTTGCCTGTATACGTGCTCCCGCCGAAATTAATTCGAATTATTTTGATCGGCCGTTTCCGCGGGCTCCCCGTCGCAGTGACGAATGGGCATGCGAGGCGCTGGAGTATCTTGATTTGACGTGTGCAGCGCGTCTGTAAATCACTCGGAGCTGATGTTAATAGCGGCAAGTGCGAGGTTTCGTTCTATTTTTTTTGTTTCCTCACTTCGGGAGGATAATTGTTTTCTCCTGGGTGCACACGTATACCACCGTGTGGATAAAACATCGCAAACACATCTATGGGCTTGTTTCTCTCTCTCTCTCTCTCCATGGACCATGTAGGACCATGAGTCCTTGGACCACTTAAAATAAATAAATAAATAAATAAATCAATCAATCTCTCTCTTTGTTTCTTTTTTTCAATTTGTAATTAAAGTTTTTTAATGCAGTAATTCATACGACTCCTGTTTCAATTGAACCAGCATAGATTTTATACACTAACGAGTAGACAAGCCCATGAAAATGTTCCATCGAGAGGTATATTGAAGTGCAGGTCTCTATTGTCATATAGTATCGAAGGACAGCTGCGAGCAAGTAAACGTGATGGTTTTACCTGTTGGTTCCTCTTTTAAAATTTCACACAAGAGGCGTCGGACACCTTGAACTCCATAATTTTCCAGTCCGATGCCTGAACGATACACTCTTGTTTCACGGTTTGACGAACGCATTAGGACGATTATAGGGATAGGAAGAAAAAAAAAATACATCATATAGAAGTTTCGGCTCTCGAAATGATGTGTGTTTTGGAGCAACTGGCGTTGAACTGTTTTCGAGTGCCGGATACGCTTTGGGGAAATTATAGCCCTTAAATAGAGAAGGGAAGTTTTTTTTTTTTTATATTTCCAACAACTACAATGCACTGAAAGAGAAGCTAACGAAATTTGTGTCCTCTTTGACTTTAGAGTACACTCTTATGTGAAACGAGTCAGTTATAACACCCACTTTCTGCGGCCATCTCCACGTTCAGCAACTCGGCAATTTTTCTATAAATGTCCCACCTCTTTTTGGCTCTTTCGGGGTACTTCCTGCACTCGCCCCCGTTAATAGCCCTGGTCGTGATCCCAAATTGATTCGGATGCTTCTTGATCCGCGGCCTGACATTTTTCATCCAAAACCAGCTGCTCACCTGCATCGACAGGTTTTTGTCGGAGGCCACGAGATCCGGGTCTTCAAGAAGCCGATCGCCCAATCCTAAACCTTTGGAGGCCTCCTTGTAATTGCGACCCCAGGTCAGTTGGATGTAACCCCGTCCGTAGTAGTACTTGCCGGGCAGGCCTACCTTGTCTATGTACTTGTCAGGGCATTTGGTTTTTTTACAGGCTGTCGAATAAAATAAAACATTATGTTTTTAAGTGTAAATATCTCTATAAAATATGCAAACTGCTCAGTTAGAATGCATATTCTGAGCCATAACCATTTAAGGATTGTAATCATTATTTGCTATAAAATAGTTATAAAATATTTAAATTTCACTGATTATGAATGAAAAAGGCTATTATATACCAGTGCGTTAAAGTAGGCATACCTATTTCTTCAACGAATTTGAAGCCGGCACTCTCGTGCAAAAGCTGGGCTAGGAACATTGCTGCCTCGTCTTGATGAAAATCCGAGGTCACGGCATTAAAGTAGCCATAAATTTCATTGGATGGATTTTGAAAGCCACTGTGTATGATTGCAGCATTGAAATCGTCACTATTTATCACGGCAGTCGCTATCGAAAAGGTGACAATAAGTAGTAGTAGACACGCAATCTGCATCTCATTGATTTCTAAATTAAAATGCAACGAGAAAATCTCTCAATGTGTTATTTTTTCATTTGATTAAGAAATTTTCAATTGTGAAATTTTAAATTTACATTTGAAATGAACTGCCATTTCCCAGCAACTCGAGGGGACTGTGGTGTTGCTTCGAGAGATGTGATATTTACTTGGACGTAAGAGTATGAATCATTACTTGGATTGAGTATGATTTTATCTATAACCTTTGCCACGCTCAGATGAGATATGAATGCTCTTACAAATGTATTGACTAGAGAATTGAATGATGTCTTTTTGTATTTATTTGTCATTTTTAATGATTTTTTAAAAAACATTTTTAAAATTGTAAGCGGAAATTTAAGCGATAATTTTTATGCTGGCAACAATGTAAATTTTTTTTACCGATTTTAGTTGGACCACCATACGAAAAATAAAATTTTAATTTTTATCGATGAATAAGTAACTTGAGCTTCAACTTGTTTGGTTTTTTTTTCAAACTAAAAAGTTAATTCAATTTATTTTCAACCTGTCATTGGACTTCGTTGTCACATAATGATATTTAATATTAGATAATTCTAAAAGTATAGTCATCACATAAAAATGATAAATTTTTAATTGTATTCCAGATATCTACGTGAATTATGTTTTTCATGCAATCCACATTAACTTAGACACGGTTTCTTTACAATACAGGAATCTAATCAAAAAATGTCTGCGTTATCGTAGCTCACTGAATACTGTCAGAATAAAGTTTGATTGAAAAAAATAATACATAAAAAAAACATAGTCATCAATGCTAGTGGACTCTAATCATTTGGTGATTAATTTTACAGATTCTTTTCACACGTTTTGTGATGTATTCGTTCGTTCGACTTTTATTTTACATAAGGTGAATGACCCAATTATCGCTTACTCAAGCAGACGAAATGTCCCAATTATCGGTCACTTTATTTTTCTTTTTACAGGCCTCAGATATGTATTTTTAATTAGTTACAAGGTGAATTTATATTAAAAAAAAAAATAATATGGAAGAAAAAAGCGTCAAAATATTTGGAAAAAGTATTAAAAAATTTTAACGAACGCTTGACAGTAAAAATTGTTTTCTCTAAAAAATGGTCCAGCAAAGACATGCATTGACGAAGCGTTTTAAAATACACAGAAAATAATCATGTCCAATACCATTAATTATCATTATCTAAACATACTTTTCTGTAACGTCCTATTTTTCTCATCAAACAATCAAACACTGAAATTTGATAGCGTTAAAAAGAAATGGTTACAACAATCATTGACAAAGACACATGCAGGGAGGCCAAGCAGGACATAATCAATTAACGCTCAAGCCCTTCAACTTCTCAGCGTTCATTTTCACGCGACAAATTGATTGTTTTCCTTTGTGGTGTTCTCTCACGATTTCTCCATCTCTGGAGACACCCTCACACGAACTCAGTCCCCGGGTTGTTACGTTTGTCCAACTGTAAAATGTGTGCACCTGCGTATAGCTATACAGCTACGTATACGTATACACGAACGCTTACCTCAATCAAAAATTTAATGAATTTTGAAGAGGATATATTCCTCGATGGCATCACAATCCTTATATTCTATTATACGAAAAAAAATCAACAGCCCAGTTTCAATAACTTGAATTGCGATTGAGAACTAAAAGAAGGAAAAAAAATTTAACAGAGACGTTGCGCTGTTTAAATTATTTCTCTGCTGCAGCATGTAGCCGCAGCAGCAGGAGACCGATGATTAATTGAATTTGCCCCTTTTTTTCGAGCACGATTACTCCGATCTCGGTATATATATATAATGAGGGAAAGAGCCATGTGGTCAATGACGGCACGTTTTCACGACCTATAAGGTAAGGTCTTGTCTCGTCTCGTCTGTGGTGGTTGGACTAGCCACCACCTTCCTTTCACCCCCTGATGCGGAAAAGTCTGCGGCAGCAGTAGTGCGGGGGGAAAAATTCAAAAGTAGAACGGGTCGGCTGGCATGAAGTATTTCGTCATTTTTCATGGTAATTAATTGGGAACCGAGATGTTTCTCTTCGAAAAGTCTGCATTTTTTTCTTGGCCAGTCGGTGCAGACAGCACGTACCTACATGTAATATTATTAAGTAGAACCATAATGGGTTTCTAGAAAATGAGTCACGGTAGAGTTTCAAGTGAGTAACACATTTTTTTTTAATTTACGTAATTTGTGTTTTTATAAGATTATACACCCAATTCAAAATTAAGATAATTATTTATCATATGTCTGCGTCATTGGGACGTTGATGGGAGGAAGATAAGAGAAGACTTTTGTAATCTCCATAAGGAATTATACATTTATTCATTGACAATAAAAGTTTGCCTAAAAAGTATATATTTAGTTTTCTAATTTTTTATTAAAAAGTACATTTTAAAAATCAAACTTTAATATTTGTCTACATGCGATATGGTTGCTTCAGAAAAAACCAGAAGAAACCAGCTTTAGTACGGAGAATATTGACATTTGGTTCAATCAATAAAAAAATGTTTCAAACAGTTAAATTTAAAAAAACTATACATTCCTAAAAAATATACATTTGGTGTTTTCTAAATTCGATTGTAACAGTTGTTGTTGTTAGATTTGTTAATTTACCACTTATTTTATTACTACAAAGTTAAGGTCTAAATCTTTATTGTTTAACAAGTTCATGGACTGAGCAATGTTATTGTTATTATTGTATATCTGTGTAGTGGTACATTTAAAACCAAAGTAATTTTTCGAGTGATTTTTCCATTATTTTTGTTAACCGTGTGTTCACGACAGACTACAGACTTGTTCACACATTTCGTATTAGTGTACTCGTATTACAATATTCGTAAGCCAAGAACTCATTTTTGAGATTTACTGTTTCATGATGACCTCCTTGAATGTTATAGTTGATGTTTTTTAATAGTGTGCTTACAATCAAAGCAATCATAAAGTACCTTACGACGAGATTTTGCCATAAGTATTCTTTTTAGGCTCTGTGCTTACCCTGGTGGAGATGACTAACTCTGTAACTAACCAGTGTCGAAAGTACCATTATTACTCTATCTTCTCTGGCAAAATAACGTTAACGTTTAAAAAGTGTTGCAAGTGATAACATGAGATTAATTTTTATGTTAATTTGCTCGTACAAACTATTCAGGTACGATTGACTACGAAAACTATCAAAATACTTACAACTAGTACTATTATTTTTATCAATAAGTCCATAATAAAATGTTGTATTACGCAAATGATTACCTGATTCCTTAGTTGATGGTAATCCCGAATCGTATGTTGATTCGAGACCAACTTTAACAAACTTTGGGGTTAACAAAGTATCGTTCGAATATTTGCAAAATAATCCAGTTAAACTTTTTGGAGCGGCCAGTAGGGATTTACGTTTTGCAAAAACACTTGTTTTGCCATTTGAAAACTGTTCAAAATTATGGTTAGGTATCAACGACGTGGGGGTACTTTGCGTACAAATGGATCAGACTACAGGAGCGATGCCTCAAAGCGCTTTTTTGTGAGTGATTTTTTGTATTATTTGCATAACCAGATGGTCATTAAGTAAAAAATTGTTATTAATTTTTTTTTTTTTTTTTCATCCCTTTGAGAATACCCTCGAGTTCCCATTAAAATTACTTTTTAGGTTCTGATTTTCTTGGCTACGAAATTAGAAGAAAGAAAAATCGGTTAATTTCTTGTCCNAAGGTGACAATAAGTAGTAGTAGACACGCAATCTGCATCTCATTGATTTCTAAATTAAAATGCAACGAGAAAATCTCTCAATGTGTTATTTTTTCATTTGATTAAGAAATTTTCAATTGTGAAATTTTAAATTTACATTTGAAATGAACTGCCATTTCCCAGCAACTCGAGGGGACTGTGGTGTTGCTTCGAGAGATGTGATATTTACTTGGACGTAAGAGTATGAATCATTACTTGGATTGAGTATGATTTTATCTATAACCTTTGCCACGCTCAGATGAGATATGAATGCTCTTACAAATGTATTGACTAGAGTATTGAATGATGTCTTTTTGTATTTATTTGTCATTTTTAATGATTTTTTAAAAAACATTTTTAAAATTGTAAGCGGAAATTTAAGCGATAATTTTTATGCTGGCAACAATGTAAATTTTTTTTACCGATTTTAGTTGGACCACCATACGAAAAATAAAATTTTAATTTTTATCGATGAATAAGTAACTTGAGCTTCAACTTGTTTGGTTTTTTTTTCAAACTAAAAAGTTAATTCAATTTATTTTCAACCTGTCATTGGACTTCGTTGTCACATAATGATATTTAATATTAGATAATTCTAAAAGTATAGTCATCACATAAAAATGATAAATTTTTAATTGTATTCCAGATATCTACGTGAATTATGTTTTTCATGCAATCCACATTAACTTAGACACGGTTTCTTTACAATACAGGAATCTAATCAAAAAATGTCTGCGTTATCGTAGCTCACTGAATACTGTCAGAATAAAGTTTGATTGAAAAAAATAATACATAAAAAAAACATAGTCATCAATGCTAGTGGACTCTAATCATTTGGTGATTAATTTTACAGATTCTTTTCACACGTTTTGTGATGTATTCGTTCGTTCGACTTTTATTTTACATAAGGTGAATGACCCAATTATCGCTTACTCAAGCAGACGAAATGTCCCAATTATCGGTCACTTTATTTTTCTTTTTACAGGCCTCAGATATGTATTTTTAATTAGTTACAAGGTGAATTTATATTAAAAAAAATGATTTTTTGGTGCCCCAATCACAATTTATTCATGTTTCAAAAAATGTATATTAAGATGTAAAGGAAAATGATCAATAATAATTAATTACATACATGATTGAACTCCCAATATTTTGAGTTTTTATTGCCAAAATGAAATAAAAAAATCACCTTTAATACAATATTCTCCAATCGATTGAAACCATATTGAACAAGTACGTTTACAACATCAAAGTGAAAAAACAAATTACTGGTCCCCAAACACCCAACGCCCCAGGGCACGGCAACGAAAAATTGAAATGAGACACCTATAATACCACGAATAAGTGTACATATATAGAA